TCGGTAGAAGATGAGTTCGCCAGCATTGTTCAATGTGGGTCATAATGTAAAAGTTCTTGCCCTGTCCATATTGGAGCGATTATAACAGTAATGTACGTTGGTAGTAGTGCTGTCACTCACTTCCACTGAAACTGCAAGCGACAACATGGATGAACAGTATGTAAGATTCAACTAATATTTCACGCAAAACGACAAATGTGATGGGTACCGAAGCTAGCAAGAACAGCAAGGTTAGTTCTTTAAATTATTTTCTTAGTATGAGTGGTGAGAAACATTATGTACAGCATGTGTTCTGGATGGCTGCTGACTGTGGCATGTGTTACTTTTATGTTGGATTGGTAATTGGTAAGAGTTAAGCAGTGCGTGTTTATTTTTAGCAGATAAGTCTTAATAGGGCAATTTACGTCATATTTAATTAAAACATAAGTATGTTATATAAAATTATATAATGTATTATATTTATTTTATATGCAACTAGAGGTGTCAGACTCTGTTCCATGTGTTGTGTGTGTGTCCTGCTCCCCATGTGCCTTCCCATGCCCTTATTTGATTAGTTTCCTGTTCCTCCCCTGATTAGTTTAGTTCATTTGTCCCAGGTGTTCCCCATGATGTGTCATTGCTCCCAGGTGTGTCTCGTGATCCCCTCCTCCTGTGTGTATAAATAGTGTTCCCAGTCCCTAGTTCTCTGTCCGCTGTTGAACGTCTTCCTGTGTTCGTCTCCCTTGGTTCCTTGGTGCAAATAAAGTCTTGTTAAAGTATTCTCCAGCGTCTCCTCGTTCCTCGTGTGTGTTCAACGTGACAAGAGGGAAGCTACAAGACTTTGTTTTTTGTTTATAAGTAGGTCATTGCATTAAGTTGAAATACATTTTATAGTTAATAAATACATAGTTATGTTTTCCGCAAGCACAGTTATTACATGAGCCATTTCTCATTTGTGTCGATTTGGGATGGTGGGAAAAGCATGTCATTTGAGCATGACTAACATCCTTTAGTTAAAGGCAGAGTAAGTGATTTCTGGTAGCCAATGTTGATATTTGAAATCACCAAAACAAACACGCCCCTACCCCAAAAGGGTCTTGCCCCTATTTTGATAGCTCCGCCCCACATATACGTACGCAACCCAGGCAACGATTAGTTCTGTGAAACAAAGCAAAACCAATGTTACACCGTGTCTACGGACGTGAGCGGCGCGGCGCAACAAATCCCCGACAGAAAACTGCTGCCGGGTTCTATTATGACGTGCTGACACAAATTTCAAATGGTTTTCAACGGTCGTTTGAGCACGTCCAGTGTAGGCAGACTTTAGCTGTTGTAGACACGGTGTTACTCACCTACTGAGAAGAAACATAGCAACCTCGGCGTCCGATCGCAGGCCTCCACTCCTTGAGTTCTCTCCAGCGCTGGAAAGCTGATCCGATATTTACACGGGTCCTACTTCTTGCCTTATCGTTCCGCAGACGTTTTCCTCTTTTGTTTTTTATCCGCCATCTCTATCTTTCTGTCGCTCGGCTCGGCTAATGTCCGTCCCATGCACTGAACGCGCTCTCCTCCACATCACGAGTAGACACGCCCCTTATTGCTGATTGGCTACAAGTTTGTTTTGCTATTTGGCCCGAATCAGTTTTCTAAAGTGTTTTTGAAAAATCTCATACCCTGCCTTTAATATGAAAATTATGGTGATTCCTTGACTATGGGCACTTTTGACTTGATATATTACTTAATTAAAAACATTTTAAATGTACATTGAAATTCATGGGATAATGATTGTATTTCAGACTGACTATACACATTGTTTTTCATAAATTCATCATTACCACTGCACACTGTTAATTCCACCTCAGCCATTTATGTTGCAGTAATGACGCTATTGAACCCTTTTAGGGAAAAATACTTCCAGTTGCCATGGACTGCATTATAATGTCATTTTACATTTTTGGTTCTAAAATTCCATGAGCACGAGTTGAAGTTATTTTGCTGTGGTAATGATGACTGAAAACAAAAAGTCCTTCAAGGGGGAAGATATTTTACAAAAGGATATTCATACACACAATCAATTTGAAAATGTAAGAATTTTTGTCAATATTTATTCTCCCGTAATGAACTGTTCTGTCATGTAAGGACATGACAGAACAGTTCATTTTTAGTTATTACGTTTTATTAAATGTTAAAAAATTCTTCTTAAGGTATGTTGTTTATAACCCATTATTTTCCCCTTCTACATTTATTCAAGTTCTTATTATTATTTAAAAATAAAAGACAAATATCCATAGTTACAGAGACACCCATTAGCATGTTAAAAAGTAGGTCATCGCTGGAATATGAGTAACCATGTAATTATTATTTAATGACATTCATTCACAGCAGTATACAGGCTCGGAGGAGCAGTCACAAATATCCAGATGGCGGGGATTTCTCTCTGCTTTGGGTATTTCTCTCCCAGCTGGGCTCTGCCGAATCAACCCATTACGAATAGGATCACATAGAATGATTTGTGACAAGGAGCCATCCATTCCTGAGCACCTGGTCTCCTCACTACCGGGCCCTGAGAAACTCCGTATGGAATGGAGTCTGCCAAGTTTTATCAACATGTTTCTGCCTGAATTCCCCCATCGCAATGTCCCAGGACATGAGCATTTTCAGGTGAGATGCTCATTAGTCAACATTTTCTGCTTTATTTCTTATTTTACATATATTTTTCTCATTATTTTCTCATATTGTCTAACCTCTAGGTCCTGGGTTACATAGCGAAAGGATCTTTTGGTCCCATTTTAAAGGTTAAGGATAAGTCGAAGCAAAAGATTTATGCAGTTAAGGTAAAATCTTTGTCTATAAGCCAGTCAAAATGTTGCATACACCCACTCATCCTTCATAATTGTACACATTTAAGAAACATGTTGTGCTGCCTAATGTGGAAACCATATATTTTTTTCAGAATTCTTTGATGAATAGAATAATTTTTTTCTTTTGTAACATTATAAATGTCTTTAATGTCACTTTTGATCAATTTTATGCATCCTTGCTGAAAAGAATATTAATTTCTTTCAAAAAACAAAATCGTACTGACCCCAAACTTTTGAACGGTAGCATATATGAACTGGTCCTCCTCTTCATGAGGAAGAATAAACAGCCTGTCATAGTAACACAGTAATGTTCATTCGCCATTTGTGTTTTTTTTTTGTCTAATGTAGGTTATTCCAAAATCGGAGATTTTGCGCTTGGGAGTTTTGGAGCAGTCTAAGGAGGAAGTAATAGTCCAGGTGAACCTCAATTTTCTATGATGTCATCATTTTTATCAGGTCAAATGGTCTATGTCATCTTTTACAGCCACTGACTCCTAGCTTATGTCATAAGACATAAGTGTGTTGTGTGTTTTAGTAGCAACAGGAAGGAAATAAAAGCAAATATAAGCAGGTCTTTTTATCACCCTGGTACATGAAGAGGTCGAGTTCAAAACCCACACAGCTTTATGACTCACTGTACCTGTGCTCTTGTTGTCAAACTTTTGTGCTGCTTAATATTTTTTAGAAAAACATGGCACTTTTTTTTCAGGATTTCTTTGAATAGAAATCTTTTGTAAGTCTTAAATGTTACTTCTGATCAATTTAATGTGTCTTTGCTGAATTAAAGCATTAATTTCTTTACAAAAGTACTGACCTCAAACTTTTGAAGGTTAGTGAATGATCTGGCATTATATTGTAGAGTTGATGTGCCTAATAATGATTAATTAACTGACATTAAAGGTGAAGATCCATTGGTGGGACTATAGAACTCTCTCCAAATTCATGCCATTGGTCGAGTAAATGCTGCTGTGTCGGGATGCTCAACAAACAATCAGAACAATGTTTTGGAAGCAACTAGAGCCACTGTATTTCAGCTTATGAAATGGCTGACCTATAGTCATGCTGGGAGAGGAGAAAGTGTAAAAAAAAAAAGAAACAAACACTTCACTTTTATTTTATTTTATTTTATTTTTGATTCTGTGTGGCACATTGTGTACAGAGTATCAGTCCGAGATTTCCCAAATTCCAAAGAATGAAAGCAATTCATGTTTTATAGCATTGGTTCTCAACTCCACTGCTCTGCACATTTTGCATGTCTTCCTTATTTAACACAACTGATTAAGATCATCAGCTTTTTAGTGGAGAGCTTCATGAACTGAACTGAGTGTGTCCGATAAGAGAAACATACAAAATGTGCAGAGCATTGGGTCCCTGCAGGACCGGAGTTGTGAGCCTCTGTTGTATAGAATATGGGTGCTATCCATGGTGCTGAAGTCAGCCATCTATAGTTGAAAATCAAATTAGTCCTAGGAAGTTGTTATATAGTGTAAAGTGCATGTAACGTGACCCAAAGACTTTTGAACAAGGTTCGTCTAGGCAAACTTATTTAGTTCAAAAATAACTTAAATAATTTTGGTTTGAGAAAACCTTGACAGAAAGATTGAATGCTTGAAGTTTGAATGATTTAAAGACATGCAGCCTCAGATAGATAGATAGATAGATAGATGCTCAAATTTATGAAAAATTCAGAAATCATTGCCTTGCAAGTTTATTAAATAATTTTCCAAACTTAATTATGTTTTCTGCTACCAATAAAATAATCAATTTAAAGGGATAGTTCACCCAAAAATGAAAATTAGCCCATGATTTACTCACCCTCAAGCCATCCTAGGTGTATATGACATTCTTCTTTCAGATGAATCCAATCGGAGTTGTATTAAAAATTGTCCTGGCTTTTCCAAGCTTTATAATGGCAGTGAACGGGTGTTTCAACAGTCCAAAAGAAGTCCAATAAAGTGCATCCATCCGTAATAAAAAGTGCCTCACACGGCTTCGGGGGGGTGGTGAATAAAGGCCTCCTGTAGCGAATCGATGCGTTCTTGTAAGGAACAACCACTAAATCAGTTTTCCCTCACACCAAGTGCCATGTGGCCCTGACACAAAAATCTCCCTGGAGCTCCTACAAACTATCATTCCACCTGAACTCTTTTTTTTTTATTCTGTGAGAAGCTGTGAGAAGGACATATCTAAAATGATACACTAAAGTTTATTAAAGTCTCTTGCTCACCAAGGCTGCATTTATCTGATCAGAAATACAGTAAAAACAGCAATATTGTGAAATATTATTGCAATTTAAAATAACTGTTTTCAAAATATTTTCCTGAATTTTCTGCGGCCATAATTCCAGTCTTCAGTGTCACATGATCTTTCATAAATCATTTGAATATGCTGATTTGGTGCTCAAGAAACATTTTTTTTTCTTATTATCAGTGTTGAAAACATTTGTGCTGCTTAATATTTTTTAGAAAAACATGGCACTTTTTTTTCAGGAACATATCCATATTTAAAAAGTTATGACCACTTTTCTGTAGCTTGCGCTAACTGTCGTATGCGCGTTCATTCCGGGCGGAAGACGTAGGACATATGTGTAGCGCATGTGCCGGTGAGAAGTGATGAACGTGGAAGCAGAGAGGAGAGAACAGAACAAAACACCGTTCACGAATTAGAAGTGAGGATTTGTAAAGAAAAATGTCAGAGGATTTCAATATAAGCCAAGAGGAGACTGGTTTTCCTTTGCTAAAGTAAGGAAACTTTGCTTCCTTTGCTCCTGTAAACAAACATTGGTTTTCGCGAGACTAGCATATTCTCACCGGCGCATGAGCTACGTATACGTCCTACGTCATCCGCCCGGAACGGCTTCCGCGTACGACAGTTAGCGCAAGCTACAGAAAAGTGGTTATAACATTTTAAATATGGATATGTTTCTTACACTTTTTATTATGGATGGATGCACTTTATTGGACTTCTTTTTGACTGTTGTGGAACAGAAACACCCGGTCACTGCAATTATAAAGCTTGGAAGAGCCAGGCCAATTTTTCATATCACTCAGATTGTATTCGTCTGAAAGAAGAAAGTCATATACACCGATGGCTTGAGGGTGAGTAAATCATGGGCTAATTTTCATTTTTGGGTGAACTATCCCTTTAATAGATTTTAATGCAGGAACTGAATAATCAAGGTTGTAGACTGTGATCTGCTATGTTACCATGTCCAGAGCAGGACTGCCAGGAGAATTCAGCCTGAGCTATGTGAGAAGGAGCTGAGTCAGGAGTTCTGGCCAAGAGAAGAGCCTGTGGAGTTGGAATGTCTCTGCCACATAAAGCACAAACACAAACTGCCACAGATCTGCTAACTCTGCTCATGGGCCAACTCCTCTCCATGTACAGACTCTGACCTAAGTATGCAGCAATGTGAGGAACTGAACCTGACAAACAACACAGACACCGGGAGAAACACAACTGTGAAACAGGGAAATAAATGTCTTCTCTTTTCCATAACCTTTGTGAAAGTTAATTTCCTTCTTTCACTATGATGTTCACCCCTTGAATGTTTTCTCCTAGCTAAAGCTATGAGGATTGTCTCACTTCCTTTGATTACCACCTGATTCCTTCATTCACAGCCTGCACTGTTTTACTCCTATTTTTATTGACACTTAATTCAGTCTAGATCACTATTGGGATTTGTTTATATCAAGCTTAATGTTCTGTACTTTGTCTGACCATGATGTTTTACCAGTCAGTGGTCTGGATGAAGGCATAACTGTACAACTGAAACAGATGGTCTTCACTGATGTATTATGAATCTGGTCAAGTGACAGATGTTTTCTCTGCTCCTAACGTGTATTAGTTGGACGTTTGTGTTTATGTTTATCTATATTTGGGATTTGCACATTCAGGCACTGTTTATATGATTTTGTTTCTGTTTATTCCCTCTCTAGTGTGTGATTACTGCAGCACAGGGGACTTGTACACGTACTGGGTGATGATTGGTCAGTTTGGAGAGGATGTGGTAAAAGTGTTTGCTGCTGAATTAGGTTCTGCTCTAGGTAAGCACATCTATATGACAAGAAATACTTTTGGGGTCCGTAAGATTTGTAAAATATTTTTGAAATAAGTGTTTTATATTAACCAAGGCTTCGCTTATTTGATCAAAAATACAACGAAAACTGTAATATTGTGAAATATTGCTACAGTTTAAAAGAACTGTTTTCTATTTGAATATATTTTAAAATGTAATTAATTCCTGTGATGCCATGCTGAATTTTCAGCAGCCAGTCTTCAGTGTCTCATGATCCTTCAGAAATCATTCTAATGTCTTCTAATATGATTCTTTGAAACTATTTTCAATAGAAATCTTTTGTAGCATTAGAAATGTCTTTATAGTCACTAGTGTCCTTGCTGAATAAAAGTATTAATGTATTTTTTTAATCTTACTGACCCCAAACATTTGAACAGTGGGGTGTATATTATATACATTTTATCTAATCTAATAATATAATATAATATAATCAACCTAAAATAAAAAATCCATGGAAATTTTGTGCCAAGCAGTTTTTTGCTCAAGTAGCTATAAATGCTTATCAAAATAATTGTGTTGTATTATACTTTAAATATCATCTGATATTTTATAGGGTTCCTCCATGACTGTGCAATCATCCATCGTGATGTGAAGGTATACACTGTTTTGGATGTAATGATGTTTTAATTTAATGACCTTAGGTAATGAATATGATCTCTAAAATGTCTGAACTCAAAAATGTCTTTAAAACATTCTCTGTTATATTTTTAACAGATGGAGAATGTCTTTCTAACAGATCAGGGTAAGGCAGTAGTCCCGCCAATAGAGGGCAGTATGTATCCGCTTTTTATTTTCTTGTAAACATGGAATGTTCCAGAACATCCAGGCTTCCAGGCCAAAGAATATATTTCAATATTTGTTTGTTAAAATGTGAAAGTGAACATATGACATCAAACTACCATCTAATCATAAATTGAATATGTTTACAATATAAAAATAATTATTATTATTATGTAAAAACTAAATGCGAGGGTTTTTATTATTTTATTAAAGGCCACCTACGACTAGCTGACTTCGGTTTGTCCCGGGGTAAGGCAGTAGTCCCGCCAATAGAGGGCAGTATGTGTCCGCTTTTTATTTTCTTGTAAACATGGAATGTTCCAGAACATCCAGGCTTCCAGGCTTCCAGGCCAAAGAATATATTTCAATATTTGTTTGTTAAAATGTGAAAGTGAACATATGACATCAAACTACCATCTAATCATAAATTGAATATGTTTACAATATAAAAATAATAATTATTATTATGTAAAAACTAAATGCGAGGGTTTTTATTATTTTATTAAAGGCCACCTACGACTAGCTGACTTCGGTTTGTCCCGGCGTCTTGAGCGTGGAGGGAGGGCGTTCACTATTTGTGGAACAATCCAATACATGGGTAAATCTATAATAAAGCAAGAAACTAAAACAAATAAATGATTACTATGACTTACGTGGAATATATGTAGAAATAATATACATAAATAGTCTCTTGAAAATGTAAAATGAGCAATTAATGATATTTATGGCTTACTAATGAAAGGACGTTTATATGTGTAGCTCTGTGTGGAATGTAAGCAAGATTCTTAAGAAATCTGTTTTTTTAGCTCCTGAAGTCCTTAGCGGTGGTCCCTACAATCCCGCGGCTGATTGGTGGTCTCTCGGCATCCTTCTTTTTGCATTGGCCACTGGAAAGGTGAGGACAAATGCACATATATTTGCACCAACATCTTGTGTTTTTCTGCCTATTGTGGGTAAAATGACATGTTTGCGTGTTTCTGTGTGAATAGATGTGTCATTTCTGCCAAGTCATTCTGAACTCCCCCTCCCTCCGTGTTTGTTACAGTTTCCTGTGTCTCCAGAGCCGGACCACTGTAGCATGCTGAGGAGAGTACGCAACGTCCCTTATGAGATGCCAAAAAACTTCTCTCCTCCTTTTGCTCTCCTGCTTACAGAGGTGAGACCTGGACCACTACTGGCCTGGTTATTCGCCAGAATGTTAAAATTGTATCAATCAAAAGTATCAATTTTGTCTCAGTTGTTTCTCCGCAAACCCTAAAAATAGACATAAATGAGGTCATTGTTAACATATAGTAAGTGTGTAGAGTTAAAAAAAAAAGTGAATTGTAAAAAAGTCAATTATTCTGTCATCATTTACTCGAACTGTGCTCAGAATTGACCCTTCGCCGGGAGTTTGATTGACAGGCGATCTGACCAATCATAATGCCAAATCTGACATTTTATCCGACAAACAAACCATACATGAGAGTAGATTAAAGTCGGTGGACTTGTACTTGAAAAATGGTATATTGACATCTTTCCGCGGTTGAAACAAGATACCTTCTGATGTTCATTCATGTCTATTTCGTGCTATAACTAGTAAAGAGGAAAAGATGATTGGTTCACAAACCACTTGAACTGAGGCACTACAGCGATCTGTCACGACACATTAAAGAGCCACAAAACGGTATTTATTTTCTGAATTTCAAAATTTGAAAGCTGAGACAGTGTTCTCTTTGCTCCGTGATGTATTTTTCACTGCGTGAGAGCATGATGTGTGGTGTAAGAGTGCAATGGCTTGTCAGACATAGCAACAGTAACTAAGGGGGGGGGCAGGTCTTTGAGAAGGGTGATTGCCAAGATCCCAAAGTCATCAATCAAAAATCAGCTTTCAGTTTGTCATTTTCTGTGTTCTGTGAAACACAAAAAAGACGAACTCTAGGAACCAAACAACACTAAAGCCCATTGACTTCCATTGTATGGTCAAAAAACAAAAAAACACATCTCAGAATATCTTTATGTTCCACAGAAGGTCATACAGTTTTGGAACAGTAAATGATGATAGATTTTTCAATTTGTCACGTCATGTCACAATTTTGGGTGAATTGTCCCTTTAAAATGTATAACTTCTGATGAAGCTGAGCACAGTTTGAGACATTGAGATCCCTTCTGAATACTAATAACCTTTTATTTAATCGTTTGAACCCATCTTTCCTCTCCTCAGCTTCTTTGTAAGACTCCAGTACGTCGCCTTCGGACACTGGAACGCTTCAAGCGGCAAACCTTTTTCCACGGCACACCGTTTGATTCCCATCTGCTCCAAAAGACCCCCATGGTGCTGATCCTGGAGCTGAAGAACCGGCCTGACCGCCCTGCCAAAGCCCGTCGAGGACTGACCCTGGAGCCCTTCCCAAACTTTGATTGCGACTTTCTCGTAACCTCACCATGCACACCCACTGCTTCAGACCTTTCCCCGACTCTGGCCAACATGGAGCGGGTAGAAGCGCTTATGCAAAGCCATGTACCTCAGGACGATGCTTCCCAACGAGAAGTGTTTGTTTAACTTTTTAATACAGTTTTGTCAGGAGTTTTAAAAACCAGACATTTTACAAGGGATGGTCCACCCAAAAATGAGAATTTTGTCATCATTCCAAACCTGTATGATTTACAGTACTTCTGTGGAACACAACAACAAGATATTTTGAAGAATGCTGATAACTACACAGCTGACTTCCATTGAACGTACAAAAAATACAATAGAATTCAATGAGAATTCAAACAGAAACTGTTTGGTTGACAATATTCTTCAAAATATCTTCTCAGAAGAAATAAACTCATACAGGTTTGGAATGACATGAGGATGAGTACAGAATTTTCATTTTTGGGTGGATCTTTTAATAGGAGTTTATTCTTCTGTGAAGGAATATAGTTGTTAAGTGTATTTCATTTTTATTGAGACGCTCTAATCCTTATGTTGAATTCCTTACCTTTTGTTGAGACATTTAGTGAAATGGGGTTCATAGTTCCTCATATCCTTTGACATTATTTGACTATTTTGTCCTCATTAATATGCCATCACTGCATTTTTTTTAATTAAACAAACATACCATCAATTCAGTTCTTCCTAGTTTATAATGGTTTGAAAGCTACACAAACCCTCAGGTATATACTTTAATGCTAAAAGGATCATATTGTCAAATTGATACCTATACTTTTATATGACATTATATGCTGTGTATAGCACTGTGCATTATTTCCATATATATATTTTTTTTTTGGACTGATACTGTGGGAAAGGGACTGTTGTTATGTGTTATACTAATTTTCCTACTGGCTTTATTGTTTATACTGTTATTTTAACCACTGCTGAGGGCCTGGTTGGATGCCCATGTATGCATGAATAACCTTGTTTGCCTGAGATGACAATTCTTGTTTTATGCCCAGAATGCCTGACACCAGTGATCCTTTATCAAATACTAAGCAAAATAAATAATGTAGTAAAACGTTTTCTTTTCATGCAGTATTGTTATTGATGCTGTGTGTGGTCATTTCTGAAGCTGCAGTGTCATTGCGCTATTATTAAGCTACAGTCTCTCTTTAAATCTCTCAAATATGCTAAGTAAATAAAGCCTTCTTGTGTTTAAATAGAACCAATCATTTATTGGTTTGTATATGTATTAAACATTGCATATATAATTAATAGAAATGTTTTGTAAGAAAAAAATAGGCAAATGTTCTTTTTCTTTGTTTGTTTCTTTTTATTTTTTTCCTTGAATATGGTTATTCTATGACATTTTAGTTTGATTTCATAAAAGCCTACGTGCTCGCACAACACACCTCAAGCATGAGCCCGTCGGATGTGATGGCGACGCTGACGATTACGCTCGAGGTCACTTTAACAAGTCATGAATATTCATTATTATTATAATAAGGTCGTGACTAAAGCCACGCCCCTAGGTGGATAGCTTTTTCTGAGCGGTCAAGTTGCGTTGCGGCATTGAAACGGGAGGCTCTCGACAGTAGGGCATCTTTTGCATCAATCTCTCCTAAACAGGTAAATGATTGAAATCTTTATTTAAAAATATGTATTTAAAATTATAGTGACACTGCCGCTTTCTTGAATGACATTTACTCGTTCTGTAAACAGATGTTGAATGTAATTTTGTTAATTCCTTCTGAAATTTTATTTTAAATATCTATTTTAATAGTGCAGCATCAGTTGTTCGCTTTGCTTTAAATATCAGAAGTGAGTATGATTGATCCGACAGGTGGTTGTCTCATTTCGAAGGCCTTCTCCATCATGGTACAATGATAAACACGTTTTAGTAGTGTTTATAGCGGATATAAAACATATGAAAGCAGTCTTATTAATTTCGGTGTGAAATGTTCGTTTTTGAGGGTTCAAACACTCCAAAATCAACTATATTAAGAGATAAACATCATCATATCGACGTTCATGACATTCAATGTCACCCTGAGCTCACGGGTGAACAATCACCACCATCTCTCTTTCTTCCGTATAACGTATTTAGAGTAGAGCTAACAGAAAGCCGACGAACCGAACCTATCTTAACAGCGTTTATTTCACAGAATATGCTAATTAAAGCATCATATGCACGTGTAGGTCTATACAGCATCACTGATGCGGCTGCTGTCTGCGGAAGGGAGTGTGGCCGATCTGCACGTAGACATTTCCTACATCACTGTAGCTTAGCCTAGCTTAGATGAGCTAACGTGATGAAATAGCGTTTTCTTTAGAGACGTAATACACATCCTTACAACATCACAAGCTCTCAAAAGAGATATTTAAATAATGTAACGTTACGTCTACAGGTTTTGTAAAAGATGTCCTTCGCTCTAAATGTCGCTTTCGGACGCTTTTGCATCCCACCTAACGTTGCACTGCTAGCGAGGCCACTGGAACGCTCGCATCGCGTTGCGTCACGTCACGGCGCTTGTCCTCCTCTCGCGTGTCGTGTATACGTGCTGAGGATGGTGTCTCTCCTCACTGAGGACACCGCAGGGACATGTACAGTGCTGCTCAAGGTGAAATGAAGTAAGCTGATGATGGAGACTAAGCTCAGGATGTACAGTTCTCTCAACGGTGGCCTTTGACTCTTTTGTTTCTTCTTTTATGTATTATTTTGTATCTTTTGCATGGCCATTGCATCTCTCCATACATAATATCTGTTTGAAGGCAAGATAATGCATGTGATATATTTCTAGGCCTGTTGAAATATAAACAAGCACAACATTTAATTAGTATTTTTCAGAGAAACCAATTCTCAGCAAACAAATTAGTGTGATTTCTTATTTCATATAAGGAAATTGTCAAGTTCTGTGTGAGGAACTACACTACCCATAATCCTAAAGTGAGATCCACCAATCAGAAAACCTCAGCAGAAACTCAGCAGACTTACTTAAAAATTCTGTCAGCTGTCACTTATGCCTTGCGCGTTTTCTTTGAGAAGCATCTTCTGAAAGGCCACCCACGCTCCCTATAAAGATTTGTTTGAATAAAAGAACAGATTTTCAATAGGATGGCATTATCAACCTTGGGATAAGCATTTGTCATTATTATTTTCAAGGCATTTCTTTTCTTTTGCAATTAGATCTAAACCACCAAATCCTTTCAGCTTTGTATGTGCAATGGTAAAAGGGGTTAGTAGTGATCGGAAGGGGTTGTTCTTCAAGCCCATAACTGATAATAGACTGGTTAGCTATTTTGAGCTTGTATATCCACGCATCTAGCAGATTGATGCCTTAGGCATTAATTTAATCCACTGTGTGACTTGTTTAGAACCAGTTAAGAATTAAGACTGTAACTAAATGTCTTAAAAGTGCAGTGTCTAAACAGTGTCATCATGACTCATTAAAATGTATTCACTTGCGTTAGAAACACTGATGGTGCTTTATAAATGGCAAGCCAATGTGGTTCTCTTTAATGTAAACCGAGCTTGCAGTTGTCTATGAAATATGATATAATAAACTATGTAACACCAGCAAGCAGTCTAAATAATATCTAGGTCTATCTCCAACCTATTCCCATTAGCGTATGTAGGATTCTCATAATATTTAATATAAATGAAATGGCTAAAAATACAAATGGATAAAAATAAATATTTTAATTATTAAATATATAAATAAATATTATTTAATTGTCACATAATTATTTATTTAATTAAGTTGAATTAATTGTTAACATAATTAATATGTTGACCTAGGTAAAAAGAAGTATAGTTTGTGACTTTGAAACATTTGAGGTTTAATGCACACAAGCAATAACCCATACTGTATGTGATGGGATGTTTGTAACAGCAATTGTGTTGCAAGCAAAGGGCAGGGGAGGTCGCTTTGAATTAGGACCAGTGGACGCCTCTTCATCATGGATCACTGACTGTGATAAATGACAAAATGACCTCTGTTTGCCCTTTGTAATGTCATTGAATCCAATGCGATGTCAATGAAGCCAATACGGTCTGGCCTTTTGCATTAAAAATAGTTAAAAAGTTCACCCAAAAATGAAACTTTTGTCATCATTTACTCAATCTCCAGGTGTTCCAAACCTGTAAGAGTTTCTTTCTTCTATTAAGCAAAAAAGAAGATATTTTGAAGAATGTTGGTAACCAAATGTTTGACGTTAGCCACTGATTTCCATAGTATTTTTCCCATACTATGGAAGTCAATTGGTGGGTGTCATTTGGAGGCTGCGTTCTCCGGAAGTTGCATTTGTCGTCCGCATACGTCATTGAGACGGTCTCATTTAAGAAAAATAACCATAATAAAATTGACTGTTATTCCTCTTGAGGTGTAAAATACTGTAATTTCTATTTTACTTTGCAATCTAATGGTTACTCTTCTTAAATGAGACCGCCTCGATGTGTACGACCACCAGATATGACCTCTGGAGGATGCAGCCTCCAAAATAAGACTCAGTGACCATCAACTGTTTGGTTGCCAAAATTCTTCAAATTATCTTTGTTGACAGTAGCCATTGACTTCCATAGTAGTTTTTCCCCCATACTATGGAAGTTAGTGGCTACTGTCAACTGTTTGGTTACCAACATTCTTCAAAATATCTTCTATTGTGCTCAACAGAGGAAAGAAACTTTTGGAGCAACTTGGCTGAGTAAATGAAGACATAATTTTTGATTGAACTATCCCTTTAACATTAACTTTAACTCAAAATAAAGCCAGTCATTGAAGACTACAGTATGTCAGATGCCTTTTTTTGTTCTAAGTGGAATGGTAATAGAGCACGTTGTGACACATCCCTCCAAAGCTCATAATATGTTCAACTGTGCGATGAATGAGGTGAACGGCAGCCGTAGGCTGTGTTTTCCTGTGGAAACTTCCATTGTTCAACAAACCCAATGAGGCGGATTCATTCACGGAGTCCAGCCTTGGGGGGGGGGGTGTGCTCTCATGTCACTTCAGTAATACTGTGATAAACCATATGCTAGCATATTAGAAATAAAACAATAGCTGAGATGCTAGAGAAACAACAACTGGCTTTAAATCAACTGATTTGTTTAGTCTCTCATTGAAACCCACAGAGGAGTA